AGAAACACTTAAGGAGATATTCAACATCCTTAGCCATCAGGGAAATGCAAATCAAAACAACTCTGAGATTCCATCTTAACACCTGTGAGAATGGCTAAGATCAAAACCATAAGTGACCGCTTATGCTGGAGAGGATGCGAAGCAAGGAGAACACTCCTCCGTTGTTGGTGAGAGCACAAACTTGTACAGTCACTTTGGAAGTCAATGTGACAGTTTTTCAGAAAACTTGGAATCAATCTACCACAAGACCCAGCCATACCACTCTTGGGCATATACCCAAAGGATACTCAATCATACCACAAGGACACTTGCTCAACTAGCAGCTAGCTTTATTTGTAATAGCCAGAAATTGGAAACAACCTAGATGTCTTTCAACCAAGGAACAGATAAAGAAAATGGGGTACATATACACAATCGAGTATTACTCAGCTGTTAAAAACAAGGACACCAGGAAATTTTCAGGCAAATGGATGGAACTAGAAAAAACAAAAATCATTCTGAGTGAGGTAACCCAGACGGAGAAAGACAAACATGGTATATGTTCAGGTGGAAGCTCCACCTCAGCCCCTCTCCCCCATCACCCTCTCTCCAAACCCTGCCCTGTCTCAGAAACCCTGCCAAAGGGCAGCTCCTCCCCCAGAGATGCTCAAGACCACATCTACAGTGTATTTAAACTGTCCCCCAGAGACTGGCCACGGGGTTTTTCGGTCTCTTCTTCCCATATCTCTGGGGCCTGAAAATCATCTAGGCGCATTTCACCCATTCAACCTGGACTTTTATTTCTTAATTTGGTTTGATTTGGTTTGATTTGGATTACTGCATTGGCAGAGAGGCTTAATATTGGGGTACAGAAACTTTTCAGTGTGTAATATCACTCATAAGTGGATATTAGCAGTAAAATAAAGGATAACTATGCTACAATCCACAGACCCAGAGAGACTAGGTAACAAGGAGGGCTCATGGGGGGAATGCTCAGATCTCCTTGGGAAGGGGAAATAGAAGAGACTTCGTGAATGGACTGAGGGCAGTAGGGAATGGGAATATTGATTGATTGTGTTTTTATGCCAGCATTTAGGCATCTGGGTTTGGGATGATTATAGGTCTAGGTGCTGTTTTCTGGGTTTGTCTTTGTTGGGTGGGTGTTTTGTTCCTTGGTTTCCGTTTCTTCTCTGGATTTTTGGAAGGTGTGATGGCTGTGTGTTACCTGTTTTACTGGCCTGCTCAGCTGGTATATTCACAGGGAATGCCTGCTAGTGTTGGAGGCTGGGATACCGAGATGAGTTAGGAAGGAAGGTCAGAGGAGAAGATCTTTGTGATCCATTGGGGATGGAGTCAGACAGGAAAGGGAGATTACAGTGGGTTTCCTGCCTCAGAGCTGGGGGTGAGACTGAGTTGGGTGTAGGGATTGGATCTCGGGAGCAGCAGGAGAGGTGTGGGTTTGCTCTTAGCCTACTTGTTTGTCCTGGCCCTTGGGTTAGCCAGGGGTGCCTGCTGGGATTGGGGTCTGGGACAAAGCAACAAGTGTAGGGGTGGTGGCTGTGGAAACCAGAAGATCTGTGAGATCCATAGGAAGGGGGGGGTGAGCTGGGGATGAGACTGGGGATTAGATCTGGGGAAATGGCAAGAGAAAAGAAGGGCAACCTACCTGGTTTTCTGGCAAGTGTGGCCCTTACTTTTATTTTTATTTGCATCTGTGTGTGTGCCGTGTGTGTGTGTGTGTGTGTGTGTGTGTGTGTGTGTGTGTGTGTGTGTGTGTGTGGTGGGTGGTGCCTCTGGAGTCTGGAGAACAGTTTTGGATTCCCTGGAGTTCAGTTACAGGCAGTTTTGTTTGAGTTGCCTGACCCGGGGTGCTGGGAATCAAACTCATGATCTCTGGAAGGGCATCAAGCACTCTTAACTACTGAGCCATCTCTCCAGCCCCAGTTTTTGCAACTTTTAGTGTCTACCATATGTGAGAAAAATATTAACTTTAAAGGGATGTTATCTTAAAAAAAGAAAAGGTCTTGGGGGCGTCCTTATTTAAAATGCAGTGGGATCCAAAAGGAAGTGAGTTTTTTCCTTCAGATGATGGTAGAAATGTATGGAGACACTCTTTGTTATAAGGCCTCAAGAGAAGGTGCTACTGGGCCTGGGAAGGGAAGGGTTAGATGTTGTACAATACACAGAGCACCTCCCACTAAAGAAGAGAAATGCTAAGATTATTTTCACCTGAAATCTGTGAGGCTTCAATTTTATAAATAGTGTCTATTAAATGTAAAAGCAAATGCATTTTTAATAAAACTTCAGGGGAAAATAACAAATTTATGAGACTCATAAGCTGGGTTTCTTGTTTAACTACATTCTTTAAGCCTGTGCAGTTTGCCTCTTAACATGACATTCTCAATATCCAGTCATTGTTTCTGAGCAGAAAACACGCTTGTGTGTTTTGATTGATAGCTGCCATAACATACAGCTTCAAATACCCTTGTCCCTTGAAGAAATAAAGTACTCAGAAGGTGGAAGTGTTTAAACTAGTTCCAGATGGGTCTGAATGCTTTCACTAGCAAAGCATGCCCACTAGTAAAATAGCACATTGTAAGCAGAAAGAACGGGGAAGATAACTGTGACACTGTCATTCCTCCAGTAACCAAGCTCCTAAAACATCCCAGATACAAGGAAATAAGAAACATCTGTCCAGGCCCATGATTCTAATCTTAGCACTTAAGAGGCTAAGGCTGAGGATGATGTGGGTTCAAGGCTAACCTGGACTAGATAGTGAGTTCCAGGACAACCAGAGTGAGATCATGTCCAAAAAGGCAGGGGGTGGGGGGTGGGGGGAGTGGGGTCAGGGTTCAAAACTATCTGATAACAACAGAATATGTTTAGCTAAATTAATATATTAAGTTCTGTGATGGCTAATTTGTCAGTTTGATTAGTGTATCCGTGAGGGTATTTCCAGAGGTTGCTTGTTTTGTTTGGTTTTCGTTTTTTGAAACAGGATGCCTGTGGAGGCCAGGATCTACATTCTGGGTCAGCTTTTAGAAGTCTCAGAAAATGGAACTTCTGCCATCATTGGCTCTTGAGGAATTAAAGTCCTTGAGGCAGAAATTAAAGTTGAAATGAAAGGCAGAGGGACTAAGGGGTCTTGGCATTGGGAAGGAACTCCTCACCCCTGTTATCAGGAAATCAAGGAAATCTCAGAAACGGGATTACACATTTGTCATCAAACATGCTCTGATTTCCCCTCGACTCAGTGTCTAGACTTCCTTAACCTTTTGACCTTCGCTTTCATCTACTCAGCCTATTCACCTGTACCACATGCCTCATATATCACCTTGTGATCTCATTCCCTAATGAAAAGCTCTTTAGAAAAGAGAAGCATACCAAAGCTTTTCATGTAAGCTTTTAAACCTTTGGCACTGTAACTCCAAACATCATCTATTGTTTTATTTTGTTTGTCTACCTGAGACAGAGTCTCATGTAGCCATGCTGGGCTGAAACTCACTGTGTAGCTGAAGATAGCCTTGAACTCTGATCCTCCTGCTTTCTCTATACAGTGCTAAGATTATAGGTTCTCGTCACTACAAAGGGCTGCACAAATAGCTCCTGTAAACATACTTAAATGTGACTCTCTTTAGGGAAACCTCACTCACTGCGTAGTGCTGGCTGGCCTGAAACTGGCTCTGTAGACCCGGCTGGCCTTGAACTTACAGAGATTTTGCTGTCTCTGCCTCCCAAGTGCTGGGATAAAAGACATGCTTCCCCATGCCAGGCTTGTTTTGCTTTTGTTGGCAGACTCTCTTGAATTCAGGCTAGACTCCAATCAGCCAGACAACCAATGGAGGATGACCTTGAATTCCTGATCCTACACCTTCTACCTCCCAAGCTCTGGGCAGATGCTTGCCTCACAAGCAAAAGGTGTTGTGTTCAATATCCTAACACTGCTAAAAAATAAACTGAATAAAAACATAAATCGGATTATTAACTTGCCACTCTATTTCTTTGCACACAATCCTCCAGTGGCTCTCATTCTTTTCGGTTTACATTCCAATTCCTTGCCATTGAGCACAAGACCACGTGTCTGAACAGTTGCCAGCATTTGCCTAAGGGTTTGCAAAAGTCATATCATCATAGGGTGGGGGTGGGAGGAGCAACGATGTGGGTTTTTTTTTAATAGTTATTTTTCTCAAAGGATGTTTACTGACATGTAATATTTTTCAACGATTTAGCACATCATTAAAGTTCTAGTAAAATGAAAATTCAATTAAGTATTTTCTGTACACTCAAGGCTCTTCCTAGCAGCAATGCTTAAAGTACTTCTAGCCCTCAGTGTCCAAGTCAAACATCCATGTCTCTTCCCTGTCCACGGCCTCCTATTACATCTACTCAGTTCTCAATGCCTCACAAGATAAACAGTCCGCTCTTCCCATAGCTCCATGTTCATATATTAATGAAAGGAACTCTGAAACTCATGTCTGTCTTTAGTACTGTGGAGTGGACAACAAATCTATCGACACGTTTTTATTTTCTTTGCGGGGGAGGGGGTGTAAAGACTGGATCTCAAGTAGTACAGGCTGGCCTGACATTCCAGCTGAGAATGACCTTGAATTCTTGAGGGATTATAGGCATGTGCCACCACTCCGCTCGCTTTTCCCCTCTTGTTCTAGAGCAAATATCTGCTATAGAAACACTCAATCCACTGTCCCTTCTAAGTGAGTTTTAACACACGGAGCTTAAATAAAACTCAAACGATTTACGAAAGGTGGTAACTTCCTCCTCTCCAAATTGCACATTTTGTTATACACATGGACCCTTTCCAGGATGTAGCAATTCTCAGCTCACGGGAATAACGGACACTTTCGGAGCTGAGCTACTCTGCTCTATCTACCTTCACATTTGCAGGTGCCAGCCGGGGTACAGGACGCAGACTCCGTCAGTCACGGGACACGGGAGGCGCGCGCACAGTAGGGAGGCCATGCCTGAGCATGCGTGGACAGCAGCGCGCAGGCGCGGGGCGGCGCGCGCAGGCGCGGTGCGCGGTCGTGGCGGTCCGCCGAGCCACCCGGGTTCCGGCATGCCGGGCCGGCGTCTCGTGGCCGCCTTCCCGGTTACCTGCGCACCATGGAAGGCCTGCGCTGCCTGCCCCGGCTGCTGCCCCGCGTCGTGCAGTCCCGGCGGGCCCTGTGTGCCGCGCGCCTGAGCCCGGCTGCCTGCTGCGGTCGCGCGATCCCGCTGCGCTCCGGGAGCCCGCCCGGCGCTGCAGGTACGCCCGTCCCGCGGGGCCCCGCCTGCCCTTGGCCCCGCCGTCCTCACCGCTGCGCGACCTGCCCGGCTCACCCTGCCTGCAGTTCTCAGGCCAGCACTGCCGGGACGCGAGTGTGGTTTCTTGTTTTGTTTGTCGAGACGGACAGGGTCTCTCTGTGTAGCCCAGGCTGGCCGCGAACTGGCAGCGGTCCTCCTGTCTCAGCCTTCAGAATTCTGCAGTTCGAAGCGTTAGGCTACTTTTGGTTTTGTTGTTGTTGTTTTTCAATTTAGCGTTTAGGTGTTGTTCGAGCGTGCGTGTGCCTTTCTCTGGGTTTGTGTGTGGAGGTCGGAGGACAGCTTGCCAGAGTCAGTTCTCTCCTGGATCGAACTCGGGTCGTAAAGCTTGGCGACAGGCGTTTTTGCTGGCCGAGCCATCTGCTCAGTAATGGGTTTCGTGACGGTACTTTTATACGTACTTTTTCTCGACACCCCTCCCCTTCCTGCTGGCCTTTTTGCCTCCATATGCCCTCTTCTGCTTTCATGTTACAGAATTCTGTTAGGTTGGGTTTTTATTTTTTTTATTTATTTATTCATTTATTTATGTTGCTTGTTTTGAGACAGGGTCTCTCTAGCCCAGGTTGTCTTGGAACTCACTGTGGAGCCCAGACCAAACGCGAAGCAGGGTGGCATGAGCTATCACGAGTAGCAAGATTGGGATGTTACTAGTTCTGTTTATTTTGTTAATTTCTCTTCTGGGCACATTTATACAATTGCACAGTTGCCCTGGTGTAGGATAGGGAATTCCTAGAAGTGAAGTTAAAGAATCAAGCCAGTGGTAAGCGTTCACCCTTGATGAAGTCGGCTCTTAGACTGTGTGAGCAGACAGCCAGGGGAGCTCTGGGAGAAGGAAGAGGAGTCTTTGCTGCTGGAACTTCTGTCACCCAATGGTGAAATGTGAAGAAAGTGTTTCCACAAATGTGAGTACAGGTTCTGCTCAGAAACAAACAGTCCTAACAGAGCAGCGACTTCTGGTACTTTTTTTAAATTGTACTTTAAAAGTTCCCAAAATGAGATGCTGTCAGTCAACAACTCCTTCCCCACAATCAGTCTTTTGGTTATGTGCTTTTTCCTTCAGGCCTTGACAATGCTTGGGAACCAAGTGGTCTGCAAGATGCAGGAACTTTTAGGATAAACATTGAAGCCCAGAGTAGTAATCCTGACATTTCTTCAGTCCCTAGAGCTTGCATGGTGAGAGGAGAAAATAGACACCTGCAATGTGACTTCTGACTTCCACGGTGCTCACACAGCCCCAGTAAACAAATGTACATTTTGTTTATTTTTTTACTTTTGCCAGTGCTTGGGACAAACCCAGGCCCTTGTGTGTATTAGACAGGCACGGAGATTGCCTTGGCTCCGGCTGACCTTTCCAATCATAGAGGAGGACAGGCCTCAGAGAGTTAACAAGTTGTGTGACTTTAGTGCATGGAAGCCCTGGCAAGGAATAAGAGCAGAATAATTAGGGAGAACAGCCAGAATCCTAACATAACAAGTGTTTCTTTTCCAGTAGGAAAAAGTTTCAAAATGCAAGACATTCTGAAGGTTCTGTGTACTGTGCGATTGGAATTGAGCTTCCAGGAAAACCAGTCATGCTCACGGCAAATTCATTCTCTAATTTTTTTCTTAGGTGGTGTGTACCGGTGTAGAACCTCCGATGCCTCTCAAGCTACTTTAGCCAGCGTGGCCCAGGTGTTTGCTGTGGTGAGTGCACCTCATCCAGTAACTTGCAAGAAGAACTTTGTATGCTTATTAAACTCACAGGATTGGATAATCGGCAGAGGTATTGGAGTTGTATTTGGCCAGCGACCCAACTGCCTGAGATTGGTTTAGTGGTCCTCTTGAAGCTTTATTAATGACTGAGTTCTTACTGCTCAAATGACTTCTCCTTTCCAATAGAATGAGAAGTTTATATAGTACATGTTAAGGTTTCCCACCAGCAGCAAAAGTTTCCTCTTGAAACAGGTCTCGTGACTTAGACTGACTTCAAATTTGCTCTGTGGTCTGGGGTGATCTTGAACTGGTCCTCTTTTCTCTACCCTCTAAGTTCTGGAATTATAGGTGTGCTCCACCGTGTTAAGTTTTAATGTGCCACCACACCTACTTTATGTGGTCCTGGGAATTGAACTTTTTGTATGCCAGGCAAGCACTCTACCAACTGAGCTATATTCCCCAGTCCCAAAGCTTCCTTTGTGAACACTCAAGATTTTCTGAATCTGTTTAGAATCCCTTGGAAGCTGCTAGCCATTGAGAGACTTGGAAGATGCTAGAAAGGCAGCAGAGTACAGTATTTGAGTGCATGCCTGAAGGGTGGTTGTGATCTCAACCCTCTGAAGTGATTCAGGAGGAATTAAGTGAATTAATAACACATCTGTTAGAAATTAAGAAATAAGGCCCTTGGTGGCAAAAAGTAACCTAAGTAAAATTATAAATTGTTTTTGCAGCTCATTTTGTAAGTGGTTTTTTTTTTTTGGAGCTGAGGATCGAACCTAGGGCCTTGCGCTTGCTAGGCAAGCGCTCTACCACTGAGCTAAATCCCCAATCCCATCATTTTGTAAGTTTTTATAGTTGGAAAAAAAGTTTAAAGAATAAGTGCTTGACCTGAGCCAGACTTCCTGAGTTTAAACCTCAGCGTGCTCTCTTTCTGTTGGGGTACTTGGACAAGTAAGTTATTGTGACATCTTATACCTTGGTTTTCTCATTAATAACTAGGATTAAACTGCCGTGGGTAATCGTGAGGATTAAAGGAAGCTGAGATAACATCACTGTATTTTAATTTGCTCGTTTGTGTACTAGAAATAGACATGCTTTAGGGGCTGGAGAGAAAGCCAAGCACCGGCTGCTCTTCCAGGGGACTTGAATCTCACTCTCAGCACCCAAACTGAGTGGCTCACAACCACATTAGCCACAGCTCCAGGGTCTAACACCTCCTGTATTCCTGGTACCTACATAAATATACAGACACATTCATAAAAAGAAAAAATTACAGCACCTACTTTATAAAAAACTACTTTAGAATGACAGTAACTCACAAAATCCTGAAAATGGTACCTCAGACATAATAACTATCCAGTGTGTGTTATTCTTTACAAACCTTTGCATTTAATTAATACTAGCTTCTTAAAGAACTTTAAGACAGGGTCTCACTGTGTAAGCCTCACTGGCTGGCCTGGAACACTTGGAATCAGCCTGCCCCTGCCTCCCCAGTGCTGGGATTGAAGTGTACCACTATGCCCAGCTAAAGAACTTTGTTTGTTTGTTTTTTCAAGATAGGGTTTCTCTGTGTAGCTGACCAGGCTGTCCTGGAACTCAGAGATCCTATCTACTTCTCCCTCCCAAGCGCTAGGACTAGGATTAAAGGCGTGTACCACCACCACCCTGCTAAAAGAATTTTTCTTTATGGACAATATAAGATAAGAGGCATCTCAGAATTGCTTGTTTCTTTTTTGTTGTTTGGGATTTGTTTTGTTTTGCTTTGCTTTTTTTGAGATAGTCTCACTCTATTGACCAGGCTGAGCTAAAACTCATTGGTTAGCCCAAGCTAGCCTCATACTAATGACAGTCTTCCTGCATCAGATCCCAAGTAGACCTGAGGCACCATGCCCATTTCTGCAAAATTACTTGGAAAGTAATTACTCTTAGTCAGTTTTCTGAAGTTGATCCATTCCACAATAGAATCAAGCCCAGTCTGTGTAACCCCAGCTAGTCAGGAGACCGAGGCAAAAGAATTTGAGTTTGAGGCCTGCCTGGACCACACAGTGAGCCCTCCCCTCCAAATAAAGTCAGATGATGACTGAAAGACAATTCTTTATAGGCAAAGTAAGTTTCTCCCAAGAACACTGAACAATCAACTGATTCTATTGAAAAGAATGAGTTGAGAAAGTGAGCTGGTTACAGAGTAAACATTTTAAATGTCAGTTTTACGTGATGTCTTTCAGAAAAGGATACCATTAAAGAAAAATAATACATAAATCTGAGACATAAAAATACATAATATGTGTTGTAGAGGAGGTATGTTTTACAGGAACACTGGAAGGCACCCTGTAAGTTATTATTGGCATAGTTTTCTCTAAAATTTGGCAAATGCTGTGATTTAAGTCGTTTTACAAATTTCCTTATTTTCAGCAGTGAGTATATGTGTTTAAGAAATAAATCTAAGGCAAGCTAGTCTATATGATATGATACAAAGCTTTTATTAAAAATGGACCTTGACATTCCTGATGCTTCTGTCCTCCTGTTGATCAGACCTTTGCTCATGAGAAGCAGACTGAAGTGTGTATTGTGGGGTTTGTTATGGTTCTGCTAACATAGCCCACATTGTTTCCAAAGCAGTAACCCAGAGTGTGTTTCACCAAGACGGTGCGTGGATTGTGTTTACTTTCTTAGGGGGAACAATCCAGCCCTTCACATGTGATACCTTCAACCATGACTGGTACAAGCGTACAGAAAAGTGTCCCTCTACTGAGCAGAAATAATGTGACCTCGTGTGCTGGGACTGCTGCAGGCACCTTTTCTGTACGTTTCTACTCATTCTGCAGGGCCTGCCAGAGACATCTTAGCTTTGAGAAGACGTTTAGATTTGTGAGACAGCCACTCCTTGGTCCCAGTCTGCTGAGAAGGATAAAAGCCAACAAGGGCCAGGCATCATGTTCCCACCAAGTGACGTCCCCAACCCAGGGATCGTTGTCAAGTCCTTTCCCAGCCAGAAAGTCCTTGCAGCCACCTGAGGTTCCCCTAGCCTGCTGACTGATGAATTGCAGAGGAGGATGTGAAGTCCAAAGCTGACAGTTACATTAGCAAAGGAGAGGAATTTTTTTTTTCTGGCTTCTGCAGCTGTATTTAACTTAAGGTCAGATATGACTTATAACTACATTCCATAATTTTGAGGCTGTATCTCAGAACATAAATATACTGATTTGAAATTGTTTGTTTTTATGATCTATCTTTAGACAAAGTTTGACAAAGAAGGAAACGTTACTTCTTTCGGTGAGTATCTTTATCAGTGGAGTCCTGAATTTGGTGGACAATTGGAAATTGTAGTGTTGGAGTGCAGAGTTCTTTGTATTTGCTACTGTGTTGAAGGAGGTCCCTCCTTAACATGGGGCTGGCAGTCCCCGCCTGCAGTTCTCTGCACTACTTCCTTTTGGCAGGAATCCCTTGGATTCCCCGGGTGTTTGGAGTAGAGCCGAGTGTGGAGATGCTGTTCCTCCCTTACACAGCCCTCCAATTTCTATTCATTACGAAGCAGGTTTAAAGTAGAATTGGGGTGTGTTGTCCGTGTGCACACACACACACACCCCACTGCCATTGCAGTGAGAAAGATGGAGGTGTAAGGCGCTGGGTGGCAGTCATGTGACAGCCCGCCTCTAGACAGCTGCTCCTAAAAATGGAGCTCGGTGTTGCTTTCCCTGCAGCTCCAGTGTCGCCTTCCCCTGCAGGCCTGTGGTCCTGTCCCATCCTTGCTTAGATCCTTGTGTTTGTGCTTTTTTCTTGCAGTCCTGTGGGAGGTGTGGTTTGACACAAATACAGATGCTGCTGTCCCAGCCTATCACAAGTTTCTCTCATCTGCTATATCCTTAGCAGATAGGAGAATCTACCGTGAATATCAACTTTTCTAGGTTTTTATTTGTCCAATAATAAATTACCAAATTCATTCATTCTCAGGTTCACAACGCTGAATATGATGCTATAGTGGTAAAAATAGAAAGTGTAGGGACTGGAGAACTAGCTCGGCAACTAAGAGCGCTTGTTGTTCTTGGAGAGAGCCCAGGTTCAGTTCTTAGCACCCACACAGTGGCTCACAGCCATTAGTAACTCCACAGACATCAGACATGGGATGCACATCTACATATGTAGGCAGAACACTCATATACATAAAATAAATAAACCTAAAAAAATCTAGTTAATAAAATTCATGTTCACGTGTTCGTGTGGGCTGGAGATATAGCTCAGTTGATAGAGAGCTTGCCTAGAATGCTAGCTAGAATACCTAGATTTAGTCCCAGCAACAACTGGATTCGGTTCTGCATGTCTACAGTCATAAGTTTGAGATCATCCTTGGCTTTGTAAGGAGCTCAAGGCCAGGCTGGATGCAAGACATCCTTCCTGTCAGAGAGGCAAACTATGTCCAAAGGTAGAAAATGGTTGCTATAGGTTCTTATGCTTGATTGAGGTTTTTATATTGATCCCCAATGGACTGCTGTGAAATGCTCTAGAAAAATATAGAAGAGAAGGGAAAATTTGAGTTAGCATGAGTCTCCTTTTAAGGTAAGAATAGATACTAAAGACTCACGTAATCCTTTGTGGTAATAGTAGGAAACTGCTTAGCTGGGCCTGGGAGGGACACTAGGAGCCCATGTTCTTTGGGTTGTTAGTGTCGCCTGCTCTGTTTCTCTTATAGAGAGGAAGAAAACTGAATTATACCATGAGTTAGCACTCCAGGCCAGAGACTTGAGGTTTCAGCACGTGATGAGCATCACTACCAGGAACAACAGGATTATCATGAGGATGGAGGTAAGAGCTGCGCTGCTGTGTTCACCAGGGAGACCTAGCCATCGTGCCTTTAATCCCAACACTCAGAGGCAGAGGTGAGCAGATCTCTGTGAGTTCAAGGCCAGCCTGGCTACAGAGCAAGTTCTAGGACAGCCAGTGCCTGTGAGAAAGAGATGGAGAGGGAGGAGAGAGACAGGAAAGAAAAATGTTGGAAGGAAGTGGGATTTTTTTGTTACTGAATGCATTGTAAGAGTAGAACTTGCTCTGCATGGATTATATGTTCAGCAGGCATGGGAACATTTGTGTTGGGAAAATTCTGACTGTGGTCTTTATTGGCCTTTGAATTTAGTCTGTAGTTTCTGGGATTACACACACACACACAAAAGAATCTATTTATAAAGATATAGGGCCTTATGTGGCCAAGGATGCCATAAACTTGCTATGTAGCCGAGGATGAGGTTGACCTCCTGGTCATTGCCTCTGCCTCCCCAATGCTGGAATTATAGGCACAAGCCACCACACCAGCTGAAATAGATGTTTTTCCATTTGTATCCTGTTAAGTGCAATTATAGTACATAACCCTGGCTACCTTCATCTGGTTCTCCATGTACACCAGGAATGTCTGTTCAATTTTGAAACCTTAGTTTAAATTTATATCTAACACTTTCTAAAATTATTGTACTATACTTGCCTACTCAGAAGACACTGAATGTATTCAATTTCCGTAGTGATTCAGTTAACATGGACCTCGGTTGTTTGGACCTGTGAAAGCTTATGGTCTGGAAATACATTCGAAACCCATCAGAGGTGTTGGGCCCTGAAATATGCATGTACTTGCTTTTTAAATTTGTCTTGAATTAGATTTTTGTCCCATAATTTAGACTTAATCAAAATAATCACAACCAACACAATCTGCTCTCAAAATTTTTTTCTCCAGAAAATATCTTCGTTCTTGTTATCAGTAGCTACTGCTTCTAAACAGTATGTATCTCTTTGTATAGATAAATGTGTATAAGATGAGTGTTAAACTGTGGGACCTAGATGACGGGCTTATGACACTGTACAGATAGATGGACGGATACGTAACTCTATATCACCTCTCCAGCAATCGGCTGCAGAGATGGGACAGTGGTTAGAGCAGTGCACTTGTAACTCTTGCAGACGACCTGGGTTTGATTCCCAACACCCACAGAGTGGTTAACAGCCACCCAGAATTCAAATTCCAGGCCGTCTGATGACCTCTTCTGACCTCCACAGGCACCAAGCACACAGGTTGTACACATATGTACATGCAGGCAAAACACACATAAAATAAAATGAATAAAATCTAATTTAGAGAAAGTGAGTCGTGCGTGCCTCTTGAGTTGGGGTCCAGGAGAGCAGGCCAGTCAGCCATGACTATTGGCAGTATGTAGGGGCTGGGTGGGGGGGTTCAGAGAACGAGTGAGGATGTCCAGAGTAAGAGCAAGCAGGCCTCCTGGGTTTGGCTGGTATCCACATGTACTGCAGAAGGAGAGGGAAAGTGACGTTGTTGACAGACTTAGTGAGGAAATCTGCCAGTTTGTTGTGTTCTCTTCAGAGACCAGTCTTGAGACCGCAGCTCCCAGGTGCCGGCGGACAGGCACTGGTCCTTGGCCAGCCTCCCACATGACTGTTTTAGGGAACTTGATTTTTCACTTATTCCCTATTTTCTTGTGCATGTCTTGGCAGACGTCTGTCTCATTGTGGGTTTGAATATTTTGAGACAGGGTTTCAGATACACCAGGCTGGCCATGAACTGCTGTATAGCATGTCCTTGAACATCTGCTCTCCTTCACCTCCCAGGTGCTGGGATTGTGGGTACACCTCTGTGCCACACCAGGCTAGAGTCATAATAACTATCTAATTTGTGTAATTCCAGTTTTATCAAGACTTACATGTATTTGAATTTTCTTCCTTTATAAAATATCCCTTAATTTTATTATTTGTTTTTAGAAAACCAAATGAGCACTAATTTGGTTTAGTTTTAGTCCAAAATTAGTAAAATGAACTCAGTTTTGTGAATTTACTTTTTCCTCCAGCTTGATAACTTGCATCTCGATGAATGTTATGTTGTGTGTGTGTGTGTGTGTGTGTGTGTGTGTGTGTGTGTGTGTGTGTGTTCATCCATTCTTTTCTGTTGCTTTTCCAGTATTTGAAGGCTGTGATAACTCCAGAGTGTCTTCTGATACTAGACTATCGGAATTTAAACCTGGAGCAGTGGCTGTTCCGGGAACTGCCATCACAGCTGGCTGGAGATGGTCAGCTCGTCACTTACCCATTGCCATTTGAGTTCAGAGCTATTGAAGCACTCCTGCAGTATTGGGTAAGCCGATCTGATGTGTTGTGTGGAGTGAGTGTGAAGACAAGTTAGGACTATTTCAGAGCTGCCTTCCCCAGGCACAGCAGTCCTTTGTAAGGCTCCTCCAGGGAAAGAGAGCTTCATTCTCCAACTTAGGACCCAACCAAGTAGACCTAAAGATTCTCAAGAGGAAACTGACAATCACATTCAAATTGGCTCCCTTTGTCCACTTTTATGTTTTTTGTTTTTGTCATTTATTTTTGTTTGTTGACTTGGGATCACCCCGTGTATACCAGGCTGGCCTTGAACTAAGGTGTCCACCTGCTCCATCCTCTCTAGTACTGGTACATGTGCGTGTCACTTCTGTCTGCGCACTTTCACTTATGGGATGAGAATTCAGGAGACCTAAAGTTGGAGTGTAAGTGAACTCTGAGCACCTCACTTCCTTCTTCAAATTAAACTGTATAATGCAAGTGCTCACACATGAATGCACCATTCATCAGACCTCTGTTTGAAGCAGCTCCAGGAGGTGACACCTCCTGCTTGGGACCTAGACTGACAGGAACCACAGTTCTTCTAGTGACCCCTGCCCCACAAATCAGCAGGTACTGGATCCCTGGGAGTTGTACAAACCCAATCAGGGTGGCCACTGCCTTCTTAGCCCCTTCTCACCTTTTATTTTTCCTGCCCCTAATTAGTCTGGATTGTACTGTTCAGGAGCTAGCTGCCATCAGGAGTCAGTGCTGGGAGCATATTAGCCAGAGTGGGAGATGGAGAGGAAATTTAAAAGGTCAGGAGAGCCTGAGTGACCTGGTACCTTACTCTGTTCTCTGCTTCACTTCAATGAGGGAACAGAGGTTTCCCTCTCTGCTGGGGTTACGGGAGCAGCAGCACAGTGCAGACAGTAGTGTGTGACAGGCTGGGCTGACTCAGGAGTTCATCATACGGGAACAATGCAGTCACTTAGTAATTCTTGCCTGTGACATGCGGTTCCTTTCGGAAAGAGTACTACAGTATCAAGCCAACCATCTCCTCATGGGATCCACTTTCAAATAAAGGAGAGTCGCTCAACTCACCCAGCCTCCCAGCCCTATGAAGTCCAGCCCTCAGACCGGAGAGTTGGTGTCTCTAGGATAGTGAGACATTAGGTCTGCCTTGATGTCCCACTTCCGGTCTTCTGAACCTGGAAGTAGATCCTGTTTTGCAAAATAAAAGAATATATGGCAGGCCCCCGGATTCTGGGTTGCAACTTCCTAGTTAGAAGATGAGTTGTGCTTCTGAGATAAAACAGCGTGTAAGTAGTAGCATTTTGAGTCTCAGTTTTGCTGTTTAATCTGTTAGTCGTGTGGTGTTTGCCAGCTGATGTGGAGGTTTTTCGATCTTGAGTGCTATCCTCTTATCAGTTTATTCCTGTTGAGTATCCGCCATGCCTATTAGCTTAAGAAAAGCATCCTTTGGACTTTACAGTGATTCAGTGTATCTTTTTTTAAAGTCCAAGTCAAGCTTCAGTTTTCTGCCACCTCCCAAGGGCTGGAATTGCAGGCACATGACAGTATATCCAGTTATTCGGTGCTGTGGATCAGACCTTCATGCATGCTAGGCAGGCTCTCTACCACCTGAACTACAGCTCCATCCCAAGTTTCAGTTGTTAAAAGTCATTGTCCAGAGCAGTTTTGAACAGTGTTCTGTTTACAGAAAACATAGCTATTCCCAAATGTGAAATGGGTGTTTTGACATGGGGGTTTCAGGATTTTTCCTGAAGATTTATTTTATATTTATTGTATATGTGTATGCACATGTATGTAGGTGCCAGCAGAGTCAGGGGGTGTTGGATCTCCTAGAGCTGGAGTTACAGTTGTGAGCTGCCTGATGTGGTTATTGGGAACCAAATTCTGGTCCTCTGGAAGAGCAGGAAGTGTTCTTAACCACTGAGCCATCTCTCCAGTCCCCAGGATGTCATTAACAAATCATTCCCTAGTCCTACCATAGCAGCTGTCTGTAGAGGAAGACTGTTCTGAGAGTTAATCCAGAGCCTGGTGACAGCGTTACATGGTGCTCCTCTAACCCAGGAGATACTTTTGAGGCAGCTAGAAATGGCTGTTCTGAGATGCTGTCAGTATTTTTGGCTAGCACAAACAAATGTCTGTGTTTAATCAGAGGCTTCACTGATCCTAAGTTCTAAAAAGGTTGTTTTAATTCTTATGAAAGGCCATGTTGTTATCTAGATCAACACCCTCCAGGGGCAACTTAGCATCCTGCAGCCACTGATCCTTGAGACCCTGGATGCATTAGTGGACCCCAAGCACTCTTCTGTTGACAGAAGCAAGCTGCATGTCCTACTCCAGAATGGCAAAAGGTAAATATGGGTGGCTTATCAAGCTGGGAGTTAGAGACAGACACCTTCAGTTCTCTCTGGCTGATGCCTACAGAGAGATGGTTAAGGTAAATGCGCATGTGAACCTAAGTGTGATTCTTCTTTGTTAATGGTAACAGCTTTCCATGTGTCATAATTTAAATAAATATACTCTGAGATTTATACTCCCCAACTTTTCTTGAAAATGTAGCAGTTAAGGGCTGTGACTGTGTCTCAGTGGTAGAGTGCTTACCTGGTGTATATGAGGCCCTGGGTTCAGTTCCCAGCACCACAGAAAAATGTTCAAAACCTTGACAATTAAAACTTGATGTGGGGAAGGAGTGTGATTGTTAGAGAGATGGCTTAGTGGTTAAAGGCACCCCCCACCCCAACACACGCGCGCGCGCGCGCGCACACACACACACACAGCTTTTAAGTGCTGAGAATCACACGGGTTCTCTGGGACAGCAGTGTGTGCCCTTAACCACTAAGCCATCTCTAACAGTCACACCCCTCCCCCACATCAAGTTTTAACTCTGAACATTGTTTTCTGTTGTGCTGGGGACTGAACCCACAGCCTCATACATGCCAGGATTATACCACTGAACCACAGCCACAGACAGCCACAGCCCTTAACTGCTAAATTTTCAAGAAAAGTTGGGGAGTGCAAATCTCAGAGTATATTTATTTAAATTATGACATGAAGTAATTCAGGGGGTTAGGTTTGGTGGTGAGTGCCTCCACCTGCTGAGCCATCTCACCAGCTCAGAAAGCCAATAAATGTTCTTAGTGTTTATTATTCCGTGTGTGTGTGTGTGTGTGTGTGTGTGTGTGTGTGTGTGTGTGTGTGTGTTGGGGGTGGGGAGGGATATGTGCACGTGCGGGGTCAGGACAACTGGGTAGAATCAGTTCTCTACTTCCACGTGTGAATCCCACAGATTGAACATAGGTCATCAGGCAACAGGTGCCTTGACTTTCTTGAACCTTCTTACTGGCCCCAATTTTTTGTTTGTTTTGTTTTTTTTGAAGATTTATTTATTTTATCTTTATGAGTTTTGCCTGCATGTATGTATGTGTACCGTGTATGTGCCTAGTGCCTGAGGAGGGGCAAAGACATAGGATCCCCTGGAGTTGAAGTTACAGATGATAACCATCATGTGGGTTCTGGGAGCCAAACTCAGGTCCTCTGCAAGAGCAGCCAGTGATCTGAACTGCTCAGCCATCTGTCCCTTAAGCCCCCATCTCCAGTTAAAGTTTTAAAAGAGTTCGTTTTTTGTCTAATGTTGAAGTACTTTTATCAGTTATAAATAAGCTCCAGGCTGGAGAGATGGTTCAGTGGTTGGTACGATGCTCTTTCTGAGGACCTGAGTTCCATTCACAGCACCCAGATTTGGTGGTCCATAGCCACCTGTAACTCCAGCTCCAGGAAGCAACGTTCTGTCTTCAACAGGCGCATGCACACATATGGCATAGGCACACACATAGACACACTTGTTGAAAGAATACTCACGCCAGAAACCTGCTTTGGTGGTTCAGGTCCCAAAGAGGATGGGGGGGGGTGGGGGGAACGGGGAGGTGTCTACCGTCTGAGGATGAATCAGGATGGCTGCCAGCATTGCTTCATTGAAAAGTGACTAGACCCTTTATACTTTAAGTCGCACATAGGATTAAACTGGAGACAAGGGGCATGTGAGCTGGGGTGTGGCTTGAGATTAGGAGTTGAGGAATCCAGCATTGACCTTGACAATAGGCACCAGTCATATTCCTCTAGTTAGAGATAGAGTGACTGCTTTATCAAGCAGGAGCTTTCCTCAAGCCCAGAGGGTATCCAAATGTTCGACCTTGGGAAAAGGACTTGTTTCGGGGAGCAGACATGATACTATTTCTTAGTCTTACTATATGGGCCTGTTCCCCTCATAACACTCCTAAAAGGGAAGGTCCTGATGTCTTACTTTTTTCCCATTACAATGTACCACTCTGAATTCTCTGTGTTTATTAACTGAACTCTTGCCTTTAATGGCCTCAGGCTCTGGATCTGTATCGAAGGCATTTCATCCTTGGGATCAGGTGTGTCTAGTAAATCTCTAACTTTCCTGTTCTTGGTGTAATTAGGAGGGCACAGTGGAATTCCTGGTTCCATGGTGTCAGGGATTTTTGCATTTCTAGAATGACATAACCTTTAAAGCCACAAAATCGTTATATGGAGAGCTGTGTCACTGGCTAATCTTACCAATTGGTTTGGGTTTGGAGTCGTTAATTTGCGTTAATTGCTGAAATGTTTCTTACCAGTGGACACTGAGTGCTAGGTGGATCCGCTTGTAAGATGCCCTAAGCCCATTGTTTTTACAGTGAAATGGTGCACATTTACACTGCTGACCTTTGCTATGTAACTATTCTTACAGTCTCTCTGAGTTAGAAACAGACATTAAAATTTTCAAAGAGTCGATTTTGGAGCTTTTGGATGACGAGGAGATGCTGGAAGAACTCTGTCTAACCAAGTGGAGTGACCCCCAGGTCTTGTAAGTATTGCTTGGGTTGTTTCTTCCTTCGGGTGAGGCTGTGTTTGTCTAAAATAGTGAACAGGCCTTTTTTCACCCTTGGTCACTTTTTTTTTCACCCTTGGTCACTTTGTCTTGCACACAACCCAGCTCAGTGAGGCTGAAGGGAGTGCACACTGCATTGCAGCTGCTGGGCTGAGGAGAACATAAACATCACGATTATCCTCAAGGGATGGGTCACTAAGCAACATGTGTGAGATGAGATAGGTTCCGTAGGGAGCAAGGGCAATAGTTGCCTGGTAGAGGAGAGGGGGATGAGCCAGACAGTGTAGATTGGATTCTGTAAGCCTTGTCTATTATAGACACACCGCTTACTCACTTCTGACTTCTAAACCTAGAACTCATTTGCTTTTTAGAAACAGCTCTAATAGAGCATAGTCACTGCTACATATTATAAAGCAGATTCAAGAAGCATGTATGAAACTCACTGTCTTATCTATAACACTAAATGCATTTAAAAGTCACTGGAGACTTGAATCTGCTCCGGTAGACAGTGGTATGGTTCTAAGTACTCATGCTCTTCATTAGCTGAAAAGCAAGGAAAGGGGCTGGTGAGATGGCTCAGCCGAGAAAGTGCTCTGTGCTAGCCACTTGAGTGCGAGCCTTGGAAAGTACCAACGCCACAGTTGTCCTCTGACCTCCACATGTGCGCTGTGGTGCACACTCACACGCACACCATAAGCACAATAATAAAGTTCCTTTTTTTCAATTCCCCCAAGACAAAACACACAACTCTGTCTTGCCAACACTTAATTTGTACAAACATGCCAAAGTAGAGATGCAAGGCTCAGGGTCATTCACATTTACTAAATCTACCATGCAACAGAGGCGATGCCTGGTGTAGTGCATCACAGCTTCAGAGCACTAGGATGTGCTCAGGGAAGCGGATGTCAGCCGTTAGTCCCTGCTCACTCATCCAGGGAGAGGGGAAAGTCGCTGCTGCTGTATTTGATTGTATTCTAAGGGAAATGCTCTTTAATGTGTATAGATGTTTGGCCTACGTGTATGTTTGTGTACCACTTACATGTTCGGTGCCCACAGAGGCCAGAAGAGGGCATTAGATCTCCCAGAACTGGAGTTCTGGATGGTGTTGAGCCCCCATGTGGGTGCTGGAAATAAAACCCAGTCACCTAGAAGAGCAGCCAGTACCCTTAACCACTGCAACATCTCTCCAGCCCCAGGAAATGCTCTTTTCAATTTAGTCTGAGTTTTCTTGTGCATCATAATGTCCTAGGATTTTCACTTTCTCATCAGTATTCACATTTGTATTTTCTAGTCACTAATGGCATGTAATTACATGCCTCTTGGATTGGGGCCATGGAGCACAGTGATGCTAAGTCATCTGTGTAGGCTGAGTGCATCATGCTTAGGATCTGTTGGCGTAGCCTCTAACAAATTGGATGCAATCACAGCAGATCCAGTAAGCTGGCTTTCTCACCGGCTGCTGAAGTTGGGGGGTCAGTGTGTGCTGGACATGCTCAGGTTTGCTGACTGTTAACCCTGTGACTTGAAGTGAAAAGAGCAGTGCTGGGATTGACCATGCAGAGGAGATGGAGCTGCTGCTTGAAAACTACTACCGGTTAGCTGACGACCTTTCCAATGAGGCTCGGGAGCTTCGGGTCCTGATTGATGACTCACAGAGCATCATCTTCATCAATCTAGACAGGTGAGGATGCCCTGCAGAAGGTGAGGACTGGGGTTAGGACTGGAAAGCACTTTTTAAAGGAATGGTTTTTTGGAAGAAGTCACACCATCACATCTGTGACTACTCCATAAGTGGCCTTATTCTTAGTTTCCTCATGCCTGGCAAAAGCCACTGAAGGAATGCATGGTTTATTTGGACTCACAGTCTGACAACGAGGGCAAAAACTTGACGTATCTGTTCATGTGTCCTGTCAGGAACCTGTCCGAGTCCCCAGCCAGGGAATGGTGCCACCAATGGTGATGGTGGGTCTTTCCACCTCAGTGAGGAGGTTTGTTTCTATGGTGATTCCAAATCTTGTCAAGTTACAATATTAATCATCTCAGGAGTTGCTTTTGAAGGTGGAGAGTGACCCCGTAGGCCTTCTCTAGTTTTGCTCCTTTATGTGTTTCCTGGTCTGAGTTGGTTGTTTTCTCTCCAGCCATCGCAATGTGATGATGAGGTTAAATCTACAGCTAACCATGGGAACCTTCTCTCTTTCCCTCTTTGGACTAATGGGAGTTGCTTTTGGCATGAATTTGGAATCTTCCCTTGAAGAGGTAAGAATGTCATTTTTTAAATAACAGGATTTTATTTTATTTTTTAATGTTGAGATGATTAGAAGAGATTTTGAAGCATGACCTGTTATGTTACCGTTCCCATTGCTGTGACAAAGTGCCTGCAAAGGCAACAGAAAGAACGGAAGACTTACTTTGGCTCACAGTTTAAAGGAGTCATGGTCCAGCAAGGCAGGAAAGGCAAGGTAGCAAAGCATGAGGCCTCCCATCACACAGGCCACAGTCAGGAAGCAGGTGACTCTCCTCTTGGTTAAACCTCTCTGGAAATACCCTCACAGATCTGTGACTCCTGGGGGATTCCAAGTCTAGTCAAGTTAACAATGAAGATTAACCACCACATCTGCATATTCCACAAAGAGTTAGACACAGCTGTAATTCACTTAGAACTCAGGCAGTTGCTGTTGGCCTATGTGTGTAGCCTACATCACTTTATTTCCTAGAACATGGAAGTACACAGGAGAAGCTGACTACAACAGCCACCCTGTGAGGCAGTGGTGATGCGAGATTTTATTTCAGTTCTGTGTGTCTGGCCCTGTACCCGGGATTCACGTACACAGGGCATGTTTGATGCAGTAATCACAACTCTGAAACAGACAAAGTTTCCCTACTTTGTAGATGAGAAAATAGAGGCTCAGAAAACTTAGTAAATTGCAGATCTATAAAACCAGAGGATTTCAACCCAAAGATAAATAAATGCTCTCCACTCTGCCCTCTTGCCTTTCCACATAATGCCAGGGTTTCTGAAACCACTGTAGCCTGGTGTTTTCAGGAGCGGTCTTACAAGGCACTTTGATGTTTGGCCCTCTGTCCTCTGTGGTTTATTGCTTCTATGGCTGTCACTGTGGTCTAACCAACATCATCTCTCAGGACCAGACATTTGTAAAAAGTGGTCTTTAAAAAACTATCTCAGACTTTTACATAGAGATATTCCGGTGCCTTCTGACCGGCCTTAGGATAGTCTAGACTCCCAGGTCTGTGGATAATCTAGTCACTTTTCCTGGATTCGCCTAAGACATCTGTAGCCACTCTTGTTTGTCAGCTATGCCCTGGTTCGTTCTCAGAAATGCTGGCCACACAGCTCTCCCCTCAGCTCCCAGCCTTGTTGCTCAGTTCACTCCTATTCACCTCTGGGGTCATAGCTTTTGTTAAGAGTCATGCTGTGTCCATATGTTGGTAGTAACCTGAAAATATGAGGTGTGAAATTCCTCATAATTGTAAACATTTTGAAGGCCAATCACACTACATTGATGTGAAAATTCCATAGCTGGTCTGTTGTGGCTCAGTCAAGATGTGAGTGCACTAAAAGTATTGCATGAAATTATCTTTGGACTAATATACATATATTAGGTGCATGTGAAATGTTTTTTCTTTAGACTTCCAAAGAAAATACCATTGTTATGTCACATGTCCACCAAGGGAAAACGTATACAACTAACTGTATTCCTGCCTTTCAAAAGTTAGTGGCTGAGCTTGTAAAACAGAGGACAATTAATGTTAGAATGGTGCTTCCTTCTTATTTTCCCAGTCAATATTATAAATACATAAACTGAAACATGTTTTGGTCCCAAGAAGTTGAGATGGGATAACCAACCCATCTAACGCAAGCTAACTCTGTTTTATGCTTAACTCTAATATTCTTACTCAAAGCCTATCTCCCCCGCCCCCCAAAGAAAAGTGGTTTGGTTTTGTTTGAACTCCCTTTTGATCCAGATTTGGTAGTGCACAACTGTAGACTCAGCTCTTTGGTGGGAGGCGGCAGTAGATCTCCTGAGCCAGGAACTCGAGAGCCGGTCTGGCAGCAAAGCCTTGCCTTCATAGTACCCTTTCTGGTACAGCATCATGTGCAGTCCTGGGTACAGAAGAACCCAGTTGTGAGAAACCCGAGGTGGGAGTCTCACCCCAGGGCTTGGCCTCAGGGCTTCGATGCAGGCCTAGTTCCCTGCTCTTTCTATGGAAGAGCCCCGTGATGACAGAAAGGCTCCTTTTAGCTCTGGAGGAGAGTGTGTCTCTGAGGAGACTAACCTCTGTGATTGGAATGAACCTTTTTTTCTTTCAGGACCATCGTGTGTTCTGGCTGATTACAGGAATTATGTTTATGGGGAGTGGCCTCATCTGGAGGAGGTTGCTTTCGTTCCTCGGCAGACAGCTGGAAGCTCCTTTGCCCCCTATGGTATGGACTGGGCGCTCACAGCAGCACCGCTGTGGACCGCAATCCTGGGCCCCCAGTCAGGCAGCCTGGGTTTCAGTTGTCACAGGCTTTGTAACCCTGTGCGAGTGAGTTGACTCTTCTAACGCTCCTCACTCTCCCTTCTGTTAACCCAGTCAGCACTATGTGCTTCGTGTGATTTGGAAAGTTAAGTGAGCTGCAATGCATAGCAGTGTCCAACAAATCAGTTAGACATTACTTGGTTTCTTAGAACGCGGGCGAGAATCATACATTAAGGCGGATGCTCGTCACTCGGCAGGGCTTCCCATAGCCATACTGAAATGCAGCAGCGCTCCAGAGCATGTGAGCACTTCACCTCCTCTCCTCCCATGCATGTGGAGCAGCATGGCTGGAGCAGGTGCGTAGGCTCTGGCCTGTGTAGTTCTTCGCTTTCATCTGCTAGTGACTTCTGAGAGAGACACAAACTGAAATGCATTTCCTGCTTTATTTAGATGGCCTCCTTACCTAAAAAGACCCTTCTGGCAGGCAGAAGGATGGAAGTGAAAAACAGCCTCAGGCCGGAAGGACTCGGAGCAAGCAGGACTGTCCTGGCAAGCCGCTAACAGCAGCTGGCAGACAAAGATTTTTATGCTTCTGAAGCTGTTACCGCTCTCTGGTTGAGAAAAAAGATGACTGCTGTTTAAATTATGTCTGACTTAAAATACTGTGGCATTCACAATACGAAAACACGATTGCATCTTCGGAATTCTGGGAGGCAAAGTGCTTTCTTTGTAAAAGGCCAAAATCCTGTGTCCTACCAACCTTGAATACTGTTTTTATGGGCTTTTTAAAGTATAGATTAATTTATTGCAAGATAGACTTATCTAGATTCAGTACTGTTATACATATCAGGAAAAGTACAGCTCTGTGCTGATGGAGCCCAGGAACTTGACAGAGCCTACAGTCCCTGAGCTCACAGGCTGCAGTTGCTCAAATAGGGAGTCACGTTCCTATCAACTTCTGACTTGGGAAAGAAAGCTGGCAGATCTGTTAGCCTTGCAATGAACTCGGGAATGTCAGTCCTTGACAACCTTATTTTCAGGTATTTGCTCTCTTTTATATATAAGATAAATAAAAAGGAAATATAATTTAATGTTAACATACGTAGATTCTGGTTAATCAAGATGGTATTATTTTTCTTTGATTGGTTATAAATAGACTCTTTGGAAGTAAAGTTGAAAGAAAGTGTTTATTCTTACAATTTTATAGCTGTTTTGATCACTGCTTGATTTAAGAGATTGTGTCTCCCCCACCCCCGAAAATGTTTACAGCTAGCTAATCTGTTTGCCTACCTCTTCAGAGTTAACAGATGAGCTTGTCAGACAAGGATAGTTAATGTAAGAATGGTGGGAGCATTGTCTTCATAATCAGAAGTTTTTGTTTAAAATGAACAGCAAAGCGGGACATGGTTGGTGCTTCACCTGTAATTCCAGTCCTTGAAAGACTGCAGCAGGAGGATTGTGAAGAGTTAGAGGCCAGCCTGGGCTACAGAGTGAGTTCTAGGCCAGTAGAGGTCATAGAGTGAGTTCCAGGTCCACCTGGACTGTAGAGTAAGACCCTGCCTCAAAACACCAAATAAATGGGGCTGGGAGTGCTGCTCTTTGTTAGAGTGCTCACCCAGCATAAACAAAGCTGTGTGGTCAACTCCTTAGAACTGTACAGTAAATAACCAGATTGTTGATACCTGTAAATCTGAAAGCTGCCATCCTAATAACCATTCTGCCTACTTCTGTGTATTTTCTAGAGGTTTCATTAAGTTGTGTGCTCAAACATTACAGTTAAGTGTGCTTCCAAAAGTAGTGCACTTGTAAGATTGTGGTAAAGCCAGGCAACTCTTAGCCTACAGGGTACGAACAAAGAGGAAGTACACCCACCCCAGATGTTGTGTGCCCAGTTACCCTAGTGTGTCCCACAAGGATGTTATTTACTGGGTAATTTAGTGACAGGAATAAGAATGTTATTCCAGTAGAAAACAGAAAGTTATAAATGAGCTTCCCTCCTATGTGGGGCTGTGAGAGGCTGGTCCAGGGCAGCGGAGCTGGCCTGGTGTCCCAGCCATGAGATGCTGGAATGTGACCCTCGAGGAACTGTAGCAGCTGAATCTTTTGATAGTGTCCAAAATCATCTTTGATGATGCCTGGGTTCCACGCTAGCCCTTTTCAGCAGACCCAAGAGCTGCTGTGATTGGTCTTAAACTGTCTTGGATTTTGCTCAGCTGAGATCCATGAAGAATTGAAGTCCATTTGATCCCAGGTCAGACAGGATCAAATATCGTTTTCTCCTTGTGTTAGTTTATGAGCTTGAGCAAAGTAATTGTCTTGATGAGTCATGTACCTCTTATCAGTCAGATAAAAGGACAGAACTGGCGGTTTGTAAAATTTTTAAAAATAGTTAGGTCAGGTAGGGGTTTTGAGCATAACTGCTACTTAAAGAAAATGTAAAATATCAAATACTGAGTTTTATAATTGAGCAGGCAGTCACATCCCACATCGAGCATGAGCAAGGGGGGTGATACTTTTTGACAGTCAGTCCTTATGTTCAGAGCCTCTGAGCCAATGTGGACAGAGCAGAGGTCATCCTGTGAAATGATCCCTCCTCATGTTATTCTTAACTACAGACTGGAAGAAGTTCTGACCGACTCAGGCTGACAGGCTGTTTGTGTGACGGGGTCCAGGAGCTGCACTCAGCTTTATTTCTTGGAATGGCATCACTGAAGCTACATTTGAACTTCAGTGTGATAACTTGAGTAATGGCCACAAGAGGTGGTCTCATGGAGGGATGGAATGGGGTCCAGAGACCTGAGCTCTCCACCAAAAGCCCACTTCCAATCATTCTAACTTTATAGTCTGGGACAGTAAGGCATAAAGCAATTCCTATCATGAAGCCTTGAAAATGTACAGAGAGAAAGCTGGAAAACCAGTATGTAAATGTCTGTTGGTGTCTTGGGGTAAAGATCACCAAGCTAAACAGTTGCATCAGTTAGTGTTGTTTTAGTTATCTCCACTTGAATTTCTAAGCATTGTGGGGCTGTTTCTTAGAACCTCAGTTAATGCTTGGTGGAAGGAAATTTTAATCCACCTGTTGAGGATAATATTCAGACTGTCATGTGCTAATGTTTTCTCTATATCAGGTCAATATTCTTCATAGGTTGATCTTCAAAAGTGGATAGCACTGACCTGTTTCTCACAGAAGAGTCGATGTGTTACAGTGTTAACAGTGTTAGACTTGTCAGTAGGACAATCCTTCAACTTGAAGATGTTCCCATCTCTATAAGCTCTATAAGCTCTCTTTACCCGGAGCCTGCTTTCTGCTATGTTCAGACATTGAGCCAAAGACAAATTCTGTGGCTCTCATCAGTTAGAGCAAAAGCACTGGCACTTGGGGCTAGAGCATCAGCTCAGGGTTGGGGAAGCCCATGCCTGGTGTGCACAAGGCCCTGGGTTTAGCCCTGCTGTTTACGTTTGCTGATTGGCCATCACAGTGGCAAAACCATAACCCTTCTGCTGGTAGTGGTCTTCAGATAGGTTGAACTGCCAGTGACTAGCCAAGCAAAACCAAATGTCCCTGTGTTCTCTCCCTGCTGTGTCTTGGGCTGTGTGGTGCACACTCAAAACAGCCAGCCTGGAGCATGCGCGGTGCCTTCTGGGGTGGGTGTGAACTGTCCCTCTTTCTCCCCTGTGGGTCGTCTCAGTGGAGTCCTTTCTCGGTTGGTCCCTTCCTCATCCTCTGCAGAAGGTTTTCTCTCTGGCTGGTACTGTCACCCATTTCCTTCTGCTCTTGATATCATTTCCCAGGGTCAGAAGGAACAGTATCTCCCTTGGCTGACACAGAACCAGCCAGTCACTGTTAGCAGGTCTAAGTGCTGGTGAATTTCTCCTGAAGCCACACTGGGGATGGAGCACAGAATCCACCCTAAAGAATGGGCCAAGAACAAGCGAAGCCACAGCCCACCTGCCACTGGGTTCCTCACTGGTCCCTTACAGTCACCCTGGGCTCAGGCCACACTCCTGCTCTGTTGATGGCGCCGTCAGCCTAGCACAGCAAAGCCTCCACCCCTCCTGTGAGACTTAACCACACTGGTGAGACAGCCAGCCCCAGAGACCTGTGTGAGGCACGCACGAGATGGCTCGTTTCTGTGGTGGTCCTTCCAAATGGTCGCTGAGGAAGGGCCAGGGTGTGGGCCCCGTGCCCCATGCCGTCCTCTGTTCTCCCAACGGTGTTTTCACTGGGTACTGTGCCGGCAGTATGACAAAATGCCCACGAGAAACAGCTTCAAAGAGGAAATGTTTATTCTGGCTCACGGTTTCAGCCATGTTAGCTCCAGGGTGCTTTACCCTGTTGCTTTGGGGCTGGGGAAGAAGCAGTGCATCATGGCAGAGGAGAGCTGTTCATTTCATGGCAATGGGAAACAAACAAGGAAGGAAGGACTTGGGGTCCTGATACACCCCAATGGCATAACTTCCTCCAGCAAGGTCCCACTCCAAAATTTCCACCCTCCTTCAGTTGGGGGCCAAGCCTTCAACATGGGAATTTTGAGGCACATTTAAGATCCAAATAGGACCAGCCATCACTAACAAGGATTTTTAAAGGATCAATTATATAGAGACTGTGTTGAGAGCTAACTGCACCCTTTCTAGGCAAGAGAGAGATGGGTATTTAAACAGAAGAGGAGGAAGGGTGAATTGTTACAGTCCCAAGCACAGGCAGGAAGCTCAGAGAAGATGCAAAAGCGTTTTTTAGAAGATGCAAAGTGCCTGCCGCTCCCCATCATCCGGTGTCCACACATAGCTGACCATATTTCCAGGTAACTTGGCTGTCAGTATGTCTGTCCCAGGAGCCCCACCTCTGTCAGGTTTCGCCACAGCTCCTCTGGAGGAATACTTTGTCCACCCTGGAGTTGACTTGGGCCAAGAGAGGAGGGGCGTAATAGGAAAGTGGAGTGACCTCTTCAGTCTGAGCCGAGGCTGTAGACGTGAAGTGCCCCGGAGAGCCGGGCTCCCCAAGAACTTCTTCCAGCAGCGACAACTACTTGGTTCTGTAGAAGATACAACATAGACAGCATTCATGACAAATTCCCACCCTGAAGCAGACATGCCGTGCTCTGGAGATTCCTAGGAAAGCAATGCTGGCCAGACTCCAACTATAGCTCCAACTTAGGCCTTTCCCTTTGCTCATACACCACTTTCTTGATTTGTAAGTTCTGAAAACCACAGTTGTGGAAGTTGACTCCAGCCTCTGCCTCTTGTAATTAAAAACAAACAAACAACGGGAAATACATGAGTGCGTGCTTATTCCAGAACCTCATGTGGTACAATGTAGACCATGCATCTGGAGTGGTAAGGACAAGGGGTTACAATCACACAGCATCCCTGCTGCCTAATGTTTTCAGGCCTGTCTTCCAGAATTTTTTTCAAAATCTGCTGCAGGTTGTGAAACATTTTAGTAAAGGCAAAATCTTCACAGTTTGCAGTTAAATTTGATTTGGGAGAGTTGCCAAAAGTTACTTTAAATCATTACCGGTAAGTGAAGTGTGGCTGGTCATGCTGGCGGCTAGCATTTTAGAGGAAGCAGGATATGGCATTGATCTTGTTGGTTTCATTTTAACACAACAATCCCAAAATGCTGATAATGGCAGCACTGTACTGAGCCCTTACTATGTGTCAGATTCTAGATGGAGCTCTTCCTGTCACATCCTAATACCCCAGTGTTGGCAAAAGAGAAAATCTTTTCAGTAACAAATGGTAATTCTTCTCCCTTATTTATGTAATTACTAGTTTATTAAATGTGCTTTTACTTTGGCTATATTCTAAGTCTCCATTTCCTGGGCAAAGCATGCGCCTCCCTAAAGTTAACCCTTCCTGGCTGCCCACCGTCTCCCTAGTCTAACCATCTCACATGCCCCCTCAAGGCCCATAGGTTCTGCAAGGCCTCCTAGACCTGGCCAGCATGGACAGCCACTGTCTTTAGCCCTGGATCATTGTACATTGATGTCAAAGGTCTTGGCTGCTTTTTGTCCTTCCACCTACACTGTGAGCGGGAGACGAGGCCATGTCTCACTGTTCCATCTACGTCTCGGCTGCCCAGGGAAGCACCCCAGTTAAAGGTTCTGCTGAGGCTCACCACATGACATGGGCAGTCTTAAGAAAGCACAGAGACAGTGGCAGTGTTGTTCCTTAGGTATGTCTCCAGACTGCCAATCCCACAAGGCTCATGTGTCCTAGGAAGGAAACCTGACTTGAGAGTCCTAATTCAGGTCTCGGGGAAAGGCCACTCTGATGTTTTATGCTCACTGAGCCTTAATGCCCTGTCTCAGGGTGAGTCAGGAAAGGGAGGGATGTTAGTACTGACACAGGTGGACTGCAGTTAGGCTAACATGTAGAGATGCACAGACCAGAATTAACTGTGAAGTACTTTCATCTGGCCTTTATCACCACTGCCCTTGGTCGGTGTTCTTGATAATGTCTTAATTTTTTGAAGATGCATAAAATTGTAAATAAAAGCCCCGTGTATCCTCTGGAGAATCCTCCCGTAAGTTTAGTAATTGCTGTTTCTAGTAGCTAACCCTATTCATCAGCCTTGCTGTGTCAGCGAGAACACTTGACCAGCAGAGGGCAGTTTCACCATGAGTCTCAAGCAGGCCCTGCATCCCAGCACCTCCCAAGCCTTCCCAGACTGCTGTCTTCCAACACTTAGGACTCCTGCTCATTCTGCCTGTAGTCCTATGCCAGTCTCACGGACCTGCCTTCCCTGTGTGTCTTCAAGAACAGTGACTGTCTCGTCTCTGTATTTTATAACCTAGCACAATGCTGTGACACCAAATCCTGAAGTGAATGAACCGTTTAGTGGTTTAGTTTGGTTTCTTTGTTTTGAGGCAGGGTCTCATTCTAACCCAGGCTAGCCTGGCCTCAAACTCCTACCTCAGCTTCTCATGTGCTGGGATTACCGGCATGAGCTACCTACCACACCTGGCTCTGTAGAGTTATATATTAAGGTATATTTCTTAATTCTATATTTATTAAAATGTAATGTTAAATGTATGTATCCTCTAGCAGTCCCACTGCTGTGTTTCTCACAAGGATATTTGCACAATTATGTAAAAAAATAGTTATAAGAATGCTCTAAACAGCATTGTCTGTAATAGTTTTAAAAAATGGAGATAATGTATGTATGGGAATGTAATTGAACTGAATTATGGAATGTCCAGAGAATAAAATATTGTGTGACTCCTGGGAAGGATTAAATGGTGCTGTGTGCTTATTGATAAGAAGTGAAGGTGCATAAAAATGCAGCCATGGCATGTGTGTCTGTCTGGACTCATTTAAAGACTTGACAGGGCAGCCCAGGATGTTGCTCATCAAGTCAAGGTGCTTGCTGCCCAGCCTGCCACCCTTCATTCAGTCTGTGGGACCTGCATGGTGGGAGATGTCCTGAGTACCACAAGTAAGTGTACTGTGGCACATAAACATACATGTAACACACAGAGAACAAACATTTAAAACATTTAAAAACCCAGCAGTCTGGATAAAGACAGCAGAATCTTAATTAACAGTGGCTGTCATAGAGGGCGACAATCAGCAAAGGTCATGAAGGGCCAGATGCTCTCTGAGGCTGGAGGAGAACTCAGTCTCATTAGCTGGAGTTGCAGTGTTAACAGCCACAGCCAGATCAAGAATGGAAGGGCCAGGCTGGGCCCTCGGCACCGAGTAATGAACACCCTTGAGTCATGGACCCTGAAATTGGAACTTCGTAAAAATGTCATGTCAGGAAAAATTCTCTTTTTTCCACTATTTAAATATGACAGCCATATTTAAAAGTCAGATATAGTTGGCCCACAGGCTACACTCTGTAGAGTAGGAGTGAAGGGGAGCACTAAGAAGTGGGGGTGAGTTTAAGTGTTACTTTTTTTCCCTAAAACTGAAGAAGTGAAATTATCAGATCTGGTGAAAGCACGAGTCCTTTACTCACCCTTTGCTTGGACCTCACAGAGACCAGTGAGCTCCCAAACCTTGAACTTGCCTGTAAAACACACACAGCATGGTTGTTCAGCAGTTGAAGTAAGTACAAGGAGCTGGGTTTTGGGGGGATGGTCAGACTTTGGGGGTGGACTACTTACCTCAGGAGAAATCAATACATACTGTGCCTGGAAAAAAAGGAGAGCAAGGAGGAGACTGTTAGCATGACTTTGTGATCACTGTTCATTAAGAGCCCATCTGACTGCCTCGTGCTCACATTTCAGTGTTTTCACATTCTCCTTACAAGTATGCATGCCCTTAAACCCTAGAAATTCCATTTACAGGAGCTTAGATCCTAAAACATAAGCCACTGTATGAAATCATTTACATGGGGATTAGAATCAGCCAGAGTGACTAATGATTACCACTTCAGGAAGGTCAGTTAAATGGATTTATTCCAAGATAAAATAGTTGGCAGATAATAGAGCCTCAGCCCCACCCCATCTCAGCAGGCTCCCCTGTAATCCAGGCTTCCTAATCCTCCTGCCTCTACCTCTGGGGTGCTAGGATTACAGGATTACCACAATACCCCATACCCCTCTAGAACAATGTGAACTTTTTTCCCATAAGATGCTATCTGGTTTTTTGTTTTGTGCATACACATGTGCCAACGCATGCATGTGGAGGTCAGAGGGCAACTTTGGTGAGTAGGTTCCCTCCTACCATGTGGGTTCTAGACCCTCAGGCTTGGCAGCAGGCTCCTTTACCCACTGAGTCACATCACTGGCCCAGCAATGGTCTCCATATATAATGAATACTCCTTATCCAGAATGCCTGGGTCCAGAAGTTTGGATTTGGGATCTTCTGATTCTGGAGTATCTATAGATACATAGCGAGACCTCCAGAGATGGGGCTGAGACTAAACAGAGGAAATATCTTATACCCATAGCCTGACAGTTCTGTACAGTATGCTAATGACTTTATACATAAGACCAGCCCCCTATTGTACAACTTCCACTCGTAACATGTGGGCTCTCAGGAAGCCTAAGCTTTTGCAGTATCTCAGATTTCAAACTGGGAATGCTCAACATGCATACTGTTTGATGAAAATCCAGCACTTGGGAGGGAGAGGTGGGAAGATTAGGAGTTTGAGGCCAGCCTGGACTCTACTTTAAAAAAAAAAAAAATTAAGTTAAAAATTGTGAAAATTATCACACATGATGTGATCACATTGGTTAACAAGTTTGAGAAATGGGCCTTAGCTCAGGTCCCGCCCTGGCTGCCATTTGCTGTGTGACTTGAACAGAAGCCCTCTGTCCTTCAGGCTCTTTGTCACTGGCATCAAAGTAGCTTCATAGCTTTGAGGTGGATTCAGCTACACAGGGAGGGTGCTTATTGTGTGCACACTTAGTAGGACAAAGTACCGCTAGCCTGTAATCTCTGCACTAGTAAAGCCGAGGCAGGGGGACTACCACAAGTTCCAGGCCAGATACATCTACATAGCAAGGCCCTGCTGTTTAGGTTCAACCCCAGCCCCCACAACAGTCACATTTCAAAGTGTAGGAAATACTAGAATATGTACTCCGGCTAACAGGAAGGTGCTGTAGAACAGAAGTCTAAGTAGGTTCGTTTTAATGCTTTTGCTTGTGTTTCTCCATTTTCTACAGTCTTCACACTAAACTTTAACTCATTTTGCAATTTAAAAAATACTTTTTTTGTTTATTTTTGAGATAGGGTCTCACTTTGTAGCCCTGACAGGGAACCATGCTGGCCTCAAATTCAGAGATCCAACTGCCTCTACCTCCTAGGTGCTGGGATCAAAGGCATGTGCCACTACACCTTAATTTTTAAATTTCAGAAAGATAGTAACAATAATAGCCAAGCTAAATGCTTGGAAATATAGGAAAGCCATCAGAGAAAGGAGTAACACAAAGCAATAAACAAGAAACAAAAGGCTGTAGGTTTTGGTGAGACTCCAATGGCCAGAACCCGCTTTTAGTCCCATATTCCCTGGGCACCTAAACAGGCCATGGCCAGCTGTGAACAAGTCCAACTGGGCTCCAGCTCCAGAGGCCCAGCACAGCTGTAAGCACATGGGCAGCTAGGCAGCACACCCTTGGCAGATGACTGAGCCCAGGACTTGCCAGCCACATCTGGACCTCCCTCATCATGGAGTGGAATCCATAGACCACCTTTACCTTCTCCTCTGGACATGGAGTCATCCAGGATTTGCATTTGCCTGTCATGTCACCGAGGGTGGTGTGCTTGCCATTATAAATGTAAACTCGCCCATCTTCTCCTCCTAGCAGTCCAGAAGTAACGTCTGTTATCCTCAGTGGGGCGGCCATGATGATTTCATCTGTAAACCACAAGTGGGCCGAGGCATTAGCCTGCCGGATCCTGAGCCTACCTCCCACAAGTCATCAGCATGCCCTTCAGTCTGCATGGCTTCCTCCAAAGTCAGGTAGAGGCCTATGTTCCCCCTTCGTCATCCATCAATAGTGGACCTGGTGACTCTCCCGCCAAGTCTTTAGGAAATGCAGACTGTTCTTGCGCATCCAAGTTCAGATCTATCAGAAGCCCTTGAACCCAGCTGTGGCATATACATGTAGTGCCAGCACTTGGGAGATGAAGGCAGGAGGATCGGTAATTGAAAAATAGCCTTGACTACATGAGGAGCTGGAAGCACACCTAGACTATGTGAGACTTTGTATTTAAAAAAAAAAAAAAAATTGCCGGGCATTGGTGGCGCACGCCTTTAATCCCAGCACTTGGGATGCAGAGGCAGGTGGATCTCTGTGAGTTCAAGACAGCCTGGTCTACAGAGCGAGATCTAGGACAAGCACCAAAACTCACAGAGAATCCTGTCTCAGGGAAAAAAATGTGAAAAAAAAAATTGCCCCTTGGGCCACTGGACTGTCAATCAGAGGGCAGAACCTTGGCCATCTAACTGGGACACAGGTCCACTGGGTATGAAGGGAGTGACTTTAGCTAAAGACACTCTTCGCACCTTACCTAAGCCATCATCATCCAGGTCCGTCAGGTGTAGAACGCTACCAAAGCGAGAAAAGCGCCGGTCCCCGCTGAAGGTGCTGAGCAGAGCAGGCTGTGTCTTCTCCAGGGCTAGCTCGTACATCCGAGTGGCTCCACCCTGGTGCAGGGTCATGGTTAGGAATGCCATTTTAGACACGTCATCTGAAACAAGCCACAGCGTCTCCTAGTGTCATAAGAGTGAAGATAGGATCCCCCCAGTACCCCATTTGTCCCTCAGGCACGTGCACTTTCAGGGGACACAGGACAGTGAGTGTTTCCTGGGGTGGTTTGCTCCAGCGGGTTGGAAGATGTGACTAGCAATGCATGGGCACTGAGGTACATGCAGGCAGCTGGGTGATGCCGGCACACAGCTCCTGTGATCCGCTCCACCACTCAAGTACATTATTGTCTACCAGACCAGCTTGTCATCTTTTCCTACCTTCCTTTTTTATTTCCTTTGAGACAGGCCAACCTCAAACTATCTCGCTGAGGATGACCTTGACCTTGACCTCCTGATCCTCCTGCCCCTCCCAAGCTCTGTGATTATAGGTGTGCATCGCCTTAATGAGAATTTTTTGCTTTCTATTGTATTTCTTTTGTTTGTTTGTTTGTTTGTTTGTTTGTTTTGTTTTGTTTTTTCGAGACAGAGTTTCTCTGTGTAGTTTTGGTGACTGTCCTGAATCTCGCTCTGTAGACCAGGCTGGCCTTAAACTCACAGAGAGAGATCCACCTGGCTTTGCTTCCCAAGTGCTGGGATTAAAGGCATGCACTACCACCGCCTGGCCTCTATTGTATTTCTTACTAAGAGGAATTTACCAGAAAAGTCTGGGAACCTTTAACTCTCAGCATCCAATAGAATCACAAGAAAAATAAAATGAGGGGCTGGAGGGATGGCTTAGTGGTTAAGAGCACTGGCTGCTCTTCCTGAGGACCTGGGTTCAATTCCTAGCACCCACGTGGCAGCTCACAACTGTCTGTAACTCTAGTTCCAGGGGGTCTGACACCTTCACACCAATGCACATAAAATAAAGTTAAAGTTTTTTTAAAAAAGAAAAGGAGTGATGCGTGCCTGGAGAGTTTGGAAATGACTTCCCAGAGAAAGGACAGAGAGACATCTTTGCAGTGCTCTCTACAGCATGTCCTCACATTGTCCTGTCCCCAACCACGCAGTGACCATGCAGCCAAGTCTTTACCGGATGCACGCTTACTCCTCAAGTCTCTTCCCCTCTTAGAGTAAGCGATCACTCG